TTATTGTCACCCCCAACTAGCTGTAGCACRTATTAAATGCATACTGTTGCCTGTWTTAAAATATCAGAGTAAATTTATGATTACTCTCTTCCAGGCAACTTCAGTCATTAATGAATCATACAAATTGCATCTTAGATAAGAAAAGATTCAAAACCATGGTTCTAATGAATGTGTACTGTTTCAACAGCACAGAACACTTTTACACATTTCATAACTGCCAATGAGATCGAAACATTTCTCTTTCTGCTTTTCAGTATATTCTTTTCAATTTGTAATTTTCATGAAGAATTGTGAATTCCTTCCGATGCCTGGTGATATTTGCCTTTTTCTTTCATATACCTTTTATGTATTCTCTGTATTCTTAGCATATATATTTGCAGTTTTTGTAGCCTGATATTGTAACTTAATTCTTGTATTTTTCTAGACAGGAAGACAAAATGTTCTAAAAGTCTCCCAGTTCAGGCTGGAGCCCCTATGCCATCTTGGTTCTCCACAGAAGGGTTCTCCATACCACGGTTGAAACTAGCTCTCTGAGACATATTTTCATAAAAAGGGTACAAGCCTCATTTGAGGGAGTGACTATAGAAGTTGCCAGAATAGGGGGGAAAATTACTTCATCTATTAAGCTTCTTATCAGGGAATCTTTGCCAGATATGTTAATTTGCAAGGTCTATAAAAATGTATATGCATCATGCATGGTGTGCATCTTCAGCTTTTTCCACCTTGACAAGCTGTGCACCTAAGGATACTTACTAAATACCAAGGTAAAATGCCTTTAACCCTTTAACTGTGTCTGGCTCATAATTCTAGGACCAAAGAAAAAGGCATTTCTTCTCACAAAAATATTGAGTAAAGTCATGAAACTATTACTCAGAACTCCTGCATTTGCTTTTCTGTTAAATATATCAATATTTAACAGAATATCAATATCAGTATTTTGAACCCTTGCAAAATTTCACATGTGGGCTTTTAGATGAAATATGAGAGAAAAATGAAAATGGTCAGTAAAGTCCCAAACAGATTAAGAGAAGTTCCTAAAGCTGTGYTGGTGTCTCAGTGTCCATCCAGATGCTGTTAATGCTAGTAACTTCAAAACAACCATCCTGAAGGTAGCCAGTGTCTGAAACAGTTTAAAAAGATAGGAAGGAAGTATCTTTTTATTTTGTGTGTTGTTTGACTGGTGTGGCAATTCATGATTTAACAGCATCTTCAAAGTCAGTATTGATGTTTTAAACATAGCGTGAGAAGAAGCAAACAACAACAGACCACTGAAACACATCTCTCTTCCTTCTGGGTCTTGTTTGAAAGAGATTATGAGAGAGATGGGCCAGAGAGATGAGGTATTTGTTGAATAGGAACTCAACACAGCTCAGCTTTAAAATCCTAAAAGAAGTGTCTTCCACATTTTGTTTTGGTTAACTCCTTAAAACAAGGAGTCCAAGAAACAGACACAACTCTCTGTAAAAAGCCCAGGGTGAAAGCAAGGATTGTTTGGCCCTTAAATAATGCATTAGCCATGCTYTAAATTACAGTATCAACTGTACCTAAAAGAAGTACAATCAGTGAAATGAATTGTCTACAGCGCTGACCAACTAGTGTGACACCACTATGGATCATACCACAGAAATCCCATGCAATGCAGCACCYCATGATGCATTTGGCCATGACAGCTTTGAACACCACTGAGCTGCACTTMAAGAGGCCAAAGATAAAACTATTTTTATTCTATCACCAAAGTAATAAACAAGACTCTGGATTCCTTAACAATAACTGTTTTGGAGTTTCACACAGCTGTATGAAATGTCTTGTATAAAAGAGATGTAAATATGACATGTATAAAGTATCTTAATGGCAAATTCAGATTTGACTTGTAAAGCTAATTCCATATAATATGAACCTACAGCCAGCCCCAATTGACCACAGCAGGCTTCCAGGCAGGCTCCTGGGTGTCATCTCTGAAGTGGCCTACTGCCATGAGCTGTCCAAAACCTTCACCAGAAATACAAAACACATATACTACCCTAAATAGCACAGGGAGGTGGGMATCCCCAGTGCCTCCAACTGCTGCATTTTTCTGGTATAGGAGAAATTTTCCCCATTCCAACAGATTACAGACAACAGACAGAAACCCCAACAGAACAGGCACATTTCAGTGCCGGTGCGTAAGTGATGCAACTAGGAGCAGGAGAAATGCACACTTGCTGTGTCTATGCGGAGGTGGATGGAGGCAGCCATGGTCAAATTCCAAGCAGGTAGATTAAACAAAAAAAGTTCCTTTCTGAAGTTTCTATTCCCCTGGGGCTATAATTATGTAATTAGCTAGCTCCTACCAGAACTTTCCATAGAAAATGTTTTCCCATGTTTTGTGAGGTAGTAGAGTTAATTTGAAAGGCAGAACCAGTGGCTCTGATGAATACAGTCTCATAGAGTTTTACAGTATATTGGTCTGCTTGAAAGCAGGACTTGCAAGGAACCTACAAAATATAACAACGTTTCTGCTGACATAGCAGAGTGTGTCAGTGGAGGGACTCAACACAAATGAACAATTTGCACATCAAAAAGCAATACACACCCCTACAAACCCCTCAAAGGTCCCAGTGCTAAGAACTCCAAAATTGGTGAGGAGCAAAGTACTTGCTACAGATTAGCAGTGACTGTCACACATCCTGCAGCATGAAAGCAACAGGTCATGTGTACCAGAGTAAGCCACAGGATCCTCACAAGCTTTTCTGTGGAAGCCACGCAGGGATGCAAGACAATGCCAGCAGAAGGTGCAAAGTCRGGCCTTTGTGCAGATGGTTGAACCTCTGAACATTCTTGCTTCACCTTTAGCAGCTATGACTTGAGACTCTTTTTTTGAGATATTTTCAGAAGGTTTATTCCAAAAGATTGTGTGTCTAACAACTATGTGCATACTTCTGAGCTGCTCTCCAAACATGGTAGGAAAGAAGAAAATTTAAAAAAGAAAACTCAAGAGGCTACTCTTACTTTGTTTTTTTTTTAATTTAAATAATTTTATATTTTAAGCAAAATTACCTTTTATTTTCTGTCACATACTTAAATGACAGGCTTACTTTTTCTTCCCTTTTAATACCTATGCCAGTTTGGAGTTTCTGGTCAAACTCTATGCAAAGTTCACTGCTTTTAGTAAACTGAACTCAGGAAAAAAAAAAATCTCACTACATGTCTGCTGGGTTTTACAGCTTCCAAYACTTTATAATGAGAACCATTTCAAACAATAGTCACAGCAAGTAATTCTGCTGCTTTTTTCCTTTACATCTAAGGCAGAGATAATTATTCCTTTTCCAATTCTCAAAGATTGTTTAAACTTATTTAACTTGCTCTGAAAAACACTGCAATTGCTTTTGAAGATATAATTAATTAATTAAGTCTAATCCACGGCCACTTCTCTCTGTTCACTTTTTGAAGATGTTTATTGCAGCTYTTTGTCCTTCTTGAATGCTCCTGACAGTTTTAATGGTGAGGATGGTAAAGGGAAAGCTGTCAAATACTATATAGCTGCATCAATGGTAGTCTATACCAGCAATTTTTGACAGTAAGGTCAGACACAATAAAATTCCTAATATTTTTATGCTGGAGGGATATAAGCATTTTCCTGGAACTTAAATTCATGCAGKTTGCCACTCTTTCCAAAAGACAGCTTTGTAAGTAATGCTAATTGTTTTTAAACCTATAATCTTGATATTTCAATCACCACCTGCATAAAGTATTCCTGGGAGATATCTGATACACAGCACATGAAGAATTAGTTGCACAATTTGCACTAGTAATTCGGAATTCTACATATTTATTTCTATTTTCAATTCAGTTTAAAGGAAACCAAACTTGTAATCTGGAAACCTCCAAGATTATATCTTTGTAATTGGTTTAAACAATTTTTAAATTCTTTTAATCTGTTTGACTGAAGTAATGGCTGCCAATAGCARTGACTGTTAAGTCAATATTTTGGTGGAAGCAAGATACAACACATCTCATAAAAAGCCATCTGCTTTAGGGAAGTTATTCAGAGAAAATATGCCACTTTCAAATTATGTGGACGTACTCCACCTCTTCTGAATCATTCAGAAAAACATTTTGCAGACCTGAAACATTTTTTCTCATTTAAGAAGTGACACCTTGCACTTAAACTTTTCAGGTTCCTCCAATCAACAGAAAATCCCTCTCTGGATAAGCTCTGGACTGCTCTTCCACTATTAACCTTATGTTAATTATTTCTTGACTTTCAGTTCAGATAGAGAAAGGGAAAGGGTGGAAACACTAGACACCATCAACTATAAAGAATTCCTTAATGAAAGACTGTKCAAATTTTTGTTCTGTATTCAGTGATCACACATGCACACAAAAATGGACCCACACCTGTATAACTCCATCCCTGATGCCATACAAATGGAATGTGTGGTCACATCCTTCCCAAATGCTGACCAGGGACACCTCTAATTAATAACTAAGTATCAAAACAGCTTGGTGACACAGAACTGGGAATGTTTCTGTATTAGAAACACAAGGCTCTAGTCCYGGAAAGACTTCATTCTGAATGCTTTCTAACCAAAATACAGRCACATCTTTTCTACCCAGTSCCYTCCTAATTTGGTAATRTTTGTTTGATGYTCATGTTCTGGGGTAAATACTCAAYACACTGCGAGTGGGATTCCTTTTAMTATAAGACAAATGGGTACCTCCATCCACAGGCACAGCAGATGTCCAAGTTCTCAGATTTTCTATAAAGTTGCTTTAAATGGCATTTTTATCGAAAGTCCTGTACTCAGGAATAGGCTAGAACTTCTTGCATGCATGAGCAAAGAACTTCTGCAAGTACTTCAGAGCATTTATTGTCCACATTTTAGAAAAGAACAACCACATCTCTGAGTAGTGCTCTTCAAAATATAAGACAAACTGGTATTTGAAATGTGCATAAAACCAGGAGAATATTACAGTATATGGAAGTGAGATAGCAAAGATGGAAACTGTTTTAAACTTACCCTATTGACACTCCTATTTCTTAAAATAATTTGAATTAGAKTTTTCTTGAATTCTTCCATCTTCTTGAAACACTTTTTCAAAACATGATTAGATAATTTAGTATCAGTTATTAAATTGATCAAAACACTAACTGCTTCAGTAAGGAAACTTGGAGCTGGGAACTTAGGACTGTTGTAAAAAACAGTCAGCCCATCAAGCAATTGAGATACCGAATTGCATATGGTGAAAGAATCATTCTCAAGCTCTGAGAAGTCTGCTTGAAGAATTCCTCCTTCTGACAGTTTTTTTATTTCAAGCAAATGCTGCAAAAACTGCACTGCAGCAGTCAGAGATTGCTCCTTGCTAGTTTGGCAAAGATTCAGTGGGGGAGCTCTTTCAAACCAATGCTTAGAAGTGTTGACATTATGCTCAAATTGTTGAAACTCTGAAGCTAAGCCCAAAGAATCAAAYGCAGAGTCATTAGCGACATCACATCCAGAGTCTTCTAGCTGGCTTGAGTAACTTGTAGGGTTTATAGATTCATGGCCCAGAAGAGTTTCCGCAGAGGTGTCCCGTTTTCCTGAAACACACATATGAAAATTACATTTGTGCAATGCTTGAATACATCCTTACTGACAGTGCCATACATACTTTCTCCTTTTTACTTCCATGCAAAAATCACATAATACATGAGCATATTTGCTCCCCAAGAACTTCCCATGACTAGAATTTAGCTGCAGAAGGTATTTTTAATTAAAGTGAAAAATTTTAGAAGTTAATATCTATTTATGAACAAGATGTTTTATAATCATATGAACAGTAATTTTGAGTTTAAAACTGCCAGCAATTTTAAGTTTCTACTTTCAAATATATAACTTAAGTAGACATAAACCAAACAATTTAAGTAGATATCTATACTCCATTYATTTCCAGGGAAGAAAATGAATGTAAAACATTTTCACTGTTTTTATTCTCAAAAACTGAGACTGCTAATAAAAGACAGTGAAAGTCTGTTACTATAACTGCATCAAATAGAATATTCTTCTTTATGTATACTCTTTCTCTCAGTCAGGTAAGAAATTGTAACATCAAAGTTGAACAGAACATGAGTTGATTTTTTTCATTTAACAAAGAAAAACATTCAAAATCAAAAGCTTCTTCAGTCATTGCCTATTTCATACCATCTCCTTCAAAGACACACAAACTACATTACAAGAAATATGCAGTACATTCACACCAATAAATTATTTTCGTGTGCTATTGTAGAATCTCTGTCATCCCCGTTCACACATTAAATACATTTAAGGTAATGCCTCTTGACATAAMCTCAGCTCTATGTGACAAAAGACACCTGTTCCACATGCTACCTATGCAAAACATCACAGTCAAAACAAGCCAGAGCAGTGAAGTGGAAGACCAACACACATAAACATCTTGGTGCCACAAGGCAAGGTTAGAACCCCATCTGACCGACTCCTGGCTCAATCCTGCTTACTGAGGCAGTCACAAACKGCCTCCCCTCTCACTCTTAGAAAACGTGCTTACACGGTTCACATTTTCCACAAGGATCCAAAGTAGTACCATACTCCTCTGCCTTTGTATTCTTAAATTAATTAAAAAAATTATAGATGGTTTGGCCTCACAAGAAATAAATGTTGTATTTCATAGCAAGTTAAAAAGAAGCATTTTTAACACAGAAAATATGCCTAGGCAGCAACCTACAATATTCAGTATGTTAAAACACTACTCAAAAATATTAATACAGACTTCATTCAATTCACAATTTCAAATAAAACTCTGATCATTACTTCAGTCTCTGAAAACATACCAGTACCAATGAGAGTACTATTACTGAGATCAAAACTGGAAACATGGTTTATTAATTTATTGTTGAGTTTCATATCTTTAACATTCAGATATTTTCGAAATTGCACAGTATTGTTAGCACTTGATTCAAAATGAAAGGGCTAACTGTAGGGAGTTCAGCTGCCATTTCCAGGAGGTAGGAAAAGCTGCACTTCTGAGGCCAGCCTAGAATTTTAAAGATTAACACTGTCTGCAAAYGCCCTGCATTTCCAAAGTTGGAAAGCAAGCAAAGAAACAAAGCACACTTCCCATGATCTGACTAACAAGAACAGGCATCCATCTTTCATGTCTTCTCTCCCTAGGGTTTTGAGCAAAACACATTTCAGAAGAAAAAAATTGAAAGTTGTTTTTTGTGCCTTTATATTTAAGGAATATAAGCCCTTCCAAGGAATCCATCTACTGTGAGCTCCACTATGTGGGTATTCTGTTCCTATTCTTAGCCCCATGGGGCAACATGAAAATTGCTCATGAGGATTTAATACCAGAAGTCAAAAGAAGCAAAGCAAGAACTACATGCAAAAACCCCATCTCTAAGTATGTTGATTCTTTACTGGAACTAAAAAAAAAATAGAAGAGGTAAAAGAAAGGAAAATAAAAGAGAAGAAAATGGGAAGACTAATACAGCAATATCCATAGAAGTCAAACTTCAGATGTTCTCAAATAAAAGATGTAGGGTATTCAATGAAACACACCTTCCACTAGGAGAAAATGTTGCGTTTACAGTTAGGTTCCCATTTGCTGAGATATCAAACTCATGTTCCATGGTGAGCTTCCAGAAAGTCCCAAATATCAGTATATTTCCAGCTAAATAAGTAATACAAAACGCYAAGCCATTTATATGTTCCAGTCATTTGGGGATGAAGTCATCTTGCTAAAAAAAAAAACCAACCAAACAAACAAACAAAAAAACAAACAAAAAAACCCACCAAGGAATACTCATTATTTCCCTCAAAATGTCTAGAATTTATTTCGTGAAAGAAGCTAAACTCATCACTTTGTACTTACCTACTATTTAAATGAGAAAGCAGCCTCGATGTTTACACCATGTGGTTATCAAKTACAAAAAAATCATAAATAAATGAAATGCCATTAAGCCTGCCTCACACCAACAAGAATCTTTRAACAGTAATTTCAAGAACATTTGACTATAAGTGTATTGGAACAAGAAATATGAAAATTTAGTATGTGTGATAAAGCGACCACAAATTTTACAACACCATCAGTAATGAARTATCTGGTCATGAACAATTTTACAGTTTCCCTAAATTTGTCACATCAAATTCAGGAAATACTTAAATTCTTAATCCTATTTAGGACTTTAGCTCTTTACTACATTAAGATCCTGAGCTGAAAAACCAAGCAAGATCCTGAACTCCAAACTAAGCAAGATGTGGTCACACAAAGAGCCTCGGGGTGCAAAGGCTGAAGAACTCACAACCCTCTACACATATCTACTACTGCAGAAGAGTATGGCCTGAAAATCAGATGGCATTCAAGGGATGAGGGAGTGACTTGCATACTGTRCCGCGTGTCAGCAAGGTGTGTAGGCATTAAAACTCAGATGTACAGACTGCTGTGGGAACACAAAACAGAGGATTTCAGGGCAGTGAGACACCAACCAGCCTCATGATTASAGAATGGGGAGACTTCAGCTAGTCCTGAGGAAGTAGAACTCTAGAAAACACAAAGTCAATCCCATCTCCCATATGCATTCTCTCACTACCCAATGTGGAATAAAAGAGGCAGCTTGTATAATATCCATGCAGCAAGAGCAAGGGTGGAGGGAGATTCTTTCTTAAGACAACTTTGTTAATGGCTGCCACAGACCAAAGAACATTTGAATGAGAGAGGCCAAATGGCACATGTAGTTCAAAAATTAAAAACTGAAGAAAGGATCTCAACTGATAAAATTGCTGTGAAATGGCAAAATTATTTTCAAATCTTTTGAAGAACAATCTACCTGCAGTTMCACCAACAGGGAGTGCAGAACAGAAAACAGGCCTGAAGGCGGCAGAGGTAAGAAACAACATGAAGAGGTGATCTGAATTCGGCAAAGAAAAAGCTACTTCTGTTTCAAGCATTAGACATTGCATTCTCTCACTTATGAGCAGACACATGGATTATCACTTGAAAATCAAAACCACTAACATTAGACAGGTAAAGCTCTCTTGAAACTCAGTTAAAATTGATACTCTCAGTTCCACTTCTAAAAGAAAAAACAAGAGACAATTAAAAATGAGACATTCTTAGAAATCTCTTTGATGATACTGCATTCTGCTTTCCAAGTAGGTGTTCAGTCAATAACCTCTGAAAGGAAATGAAAATGTAAGTGAAATTATATCCACATCTACATTTTTCAGAGCTCTGTTATTCTTCATTTTATTTTCATTGATTGGTTTGTTTGAAGTACATTTCCCATGAACAGTGAATCAGGTTTATTCTCCTGTTTAAAAACTCATATGTTTTCTCTGCCTTTCTTTCATGTATAACTGTCTCTATTTTGCTATTTTCATAACTAACCAAGCTGACTGGTTGAGAAAAAATCAATTGTCACCCACTCATGAACTCCTATTTGTTTAGCACAGCATTGTTGCCCTGACCTGGAACCAAGCCAAACTTAAATTTTCATTATTTCAAAATAATAAAGTCAAAATATAAAGATTCTAGAATTCTCCAAATAATAAGTTTTAGAAGCCTTACTTCTACATCTCTGTGGGATTTTTTTTTTTTTTTTTTTTTTTTTTTTTGTAACAGGCTTGGAAAATAAAGGCCCTCTGCTTAAATGCAAGGGGCTTTTTTATGCTTTTTAATGTTAAAGGTGCATGCTGACTTATTTTATCCCATTTAGGGATAATTTCACAGTAATTAGTATAGGACTGAGAAACTAAAGTTCTCAAATTGTTCAGTGCTAGGATTTAAATGCTTCTCTAAAGGCTTAGAAGCATAGACTTCAATTTGTTAAGGATTTTGCTTACATAAAGCATCTAAATGTTTAGAATTCAGTAAGAACTGAGAAGGATTTTGAGGATATAAACATTCATTTTTAAGGGATCTGTGYAGATGATAGCACAAATCTTTTGTAGTGCAAGTCAAATAAAGAATAGTTGCAGTAAAGATATGAAAGGATAAATAATCAGGTGGCAAACATACATATTTGGGTCAGTTAACGCTCATCAAGCAGCTWTGACAGCAAAAGATCTGACAAGCCTTACAGTATTGACCATCTCAATGACATGACTCTAATTTGAGTTGTAAGCCAGACAGRGGATATTTCAAAATACTAAATGAATTAATGTTTTCTATGAAGACTACCTGACTGAACTGGTAATACTGAACTAGAAATATTATGTCTTATTAAAAAACCCTCTACATTATGAAACAAACGGAACTTTGCTAAGACACAGGAAACAGCAGCCAATGCAGACTGCAATGAYCTGGATGCAATTCGATGAGATGAAGGCTGAAATGAGATGGACTCCTTAAGAAATCAGCTAGGGTGTGCCTTCCTAAAAACATCAATTTTCTTAAATACAACATGGAATAAATACTTTGCCTTTCTGTTTATATATCCAGAAGGACACAAAGGTCTGCTTGAGGAACTAGATTCTTAAGTTTGAGTTAGGTTAAGGCTGCCCAGAGGGATTGTGGAATCTCCATCCTTAGAGATAGTCCGAAGGTGTCTGGACACGGTCCTGCACAACTGGTTCTAGGTGA